AAGAAATAGTTCCAATATAGAGAAAAATGATTGCACAGTACACCATTTGGTTGCTATGACTGACCAATGTCACCAATCCAATTTGTTATTCATATTTGTGGTGTTTGTTTTCCAGTGGCATCCAGAAACACCGACAAATTTATGTCAGTCTAGATAATTACCAGTCTTTCAACACATACTCACATGTCAAACTCAAAACCAATAAGATTTCAAATCCAAAACAAATTTGAGCTTTTGTTGTATAAATAGCAGAAAAGTTGGCAAAGTACATCTCATACTCGTGATCTTGATATCGCCTGACAAGTTGATGCCAGAGTATCGAGCAAATCCGCTAGAACTTCAGATTGTTGACATCACAAAATGGCCGTTCAAAAGCAAAGTACGCCTTCCTTTGCTTTAATAACTTCTGTTCTGTCAATTGTGTTTTACTGTGTTGGGTTTATAAGATTGGAGGTGGAGCTAAACGAGCAGAAGAACAGAATAAATGCGCTTGAAAGCGTTGTGAATGCCATCCCGCCGTCAGATCTGCCGAACGACCCAAACATTGAACTACCCAAGAATTCTCTAGGTGAGTCCGAGTCTTAGAAGATACAACTGAGCCAGAGATTATTAATCTTTTAATAGTCACGGCTTGTTTGAAGGAAGTATGAGAATTAAGCACAAGTTTAAAATAAAATTCACCAATATCAAGTGAATTTAGTTTGCGTGTTCTCGCCGCTCTATGGTTGTCGCGTGACAAACTGGCTACTCAGGGGTTAGGAGGTCAAATTTAAGAAGAAACTAATAATTCGAATGAAGTTGCTTTTAACCAAACATTTCCGGACTGAGATCAATGATGAACAGCTGGTCCCAGTTGTCGCAGCGCCTATATCAGGGGTATCAAATGGTCTTTGGAGCATTTGCGAGCTTGTGAGCAGTGCGTTTATTTTTCCGAACACGAGCAATGATCAAATTTTCCTCGCGAACAGCGAGCACTTTAGAAAATACAGATGAAGAGCAGCGAGCACAAGTCAAATTTTGCGAGCACTCTTAAATTGAATAGGAGCATTCGATACCCCTTATATCAGTATGTCCTTTGCACGAGAAGATGTTGCCAGTGTGTTCATCGGGGGGGGGNAGTTGGGTATGGGTGTGTGGCCCGCTTCCCAGTTGAAGCCCTTATCCTATTTATGACCAAAATCTGCGATTTTCCTCACTCTATTGCTGACCTAACCAAAAATTTGACACTCTATTTATGATCGTCGCGGCTGGCAAAGTTGCCCTAAACATAATTCATGAAGGGCTTTTGACGATGGTCTTATCGATAATGATGAAAACGTAGTTTTTTTTCTTTTTTTGTTTTAATACCATATTTATAACCAAAATTACCAAAATCGACACCCTATTTATAACCAAAACGGCTGAAAACCATACCCTTGGGGGCCGCACATAGCTATATAGCCCATATAAGGGAGTATCCCCTGGGTCGACCCTCTGTGTCCCTTGCAGATGCTGCCATTACCCGAATTAAATGAAAGTGATAAAATATGAAATTTTCTGCGGATGTCCATATCAGTCGTCTTCTGAAGAAGACAAAGACTGGACTATTTTCCAGGGCTGACAAAAGCCCATTAATTCCCGAGGTTTCAAATATTCAGTCTTATTTCTAACGTTGATTAGCAGGTGGAGTTCTCAGTTTAATGACAAATTCAGCAATTTGAAAACGACGCTAAGTTGTTTTTCCTTCGCTTTTGTAAATAGAAGTCTGTTCATTTAAACACTTTTTTCTTTTGTTGATAGAAAGTCAAAAACTCCCTATAATCAGGCGTCAGGTTGACTCAACTAAGAACGCAACGGAAACGAAAAGCAACGCGGAAACCACCATCAAAACCAGTCAGCGTCTTTTATCAGAATGGAGAGCACATCTGTGTCAATCGAAGAGTGTGACGTGCTCATCAGGTCCCCCAGGCCCTCCTGGTCCACCTGGGACAAAAGGAGCTCGGGGAGAAAGGGGAAAGAAAGGAAGGACTGGAAACAAGGGAGATCAAGGCATTATGGGATTGCCAGGAAAGAGCGGCAAGCAAGGCATTATGGGGCCTGTGGGGTTAAAGGGAGAGCCTGGAACCAAGGGTGAGAAAGGAGAAATAGGACCCGCAGGCATGCCGGGAATGAAAGGCGAACCCGGCGAATCAATATCATCTCCTACTGTTGTTGTTTTTCCTGAGATGTTGACAGTGAACGAAGGTGGATCAGCCTCGTTTCAGTGTTCAGCCACCGGTAACCCTGAGCCTGCAGTAGGGTGGAGTAAACTTGAAAATCGGTCAGAAATCATTCAGTCAGCGGTTTCAGGAGGAAAGTTGGAGTTAAAGAAGGTGACCGGAAATGACTCAGGCGTGTATGAGTGTTCAGCAACAAACATCCTGGGGGATTCAAGGAAAGTGGTGCGATTAACAGTAAATGGTAAGTGTCTGTCACAGGTACTCAATATCTCAACGATAATTTCTCTTACGAAGTGCACAGGCCACCCTAAAAATGGGTCGGAAAAGTCTTTCAGAAAAGCCACAGACTGAGACACACTTTGACGAGCAAACTGGAACAGTTTGCTACTGCGTAATACATATATATTAAATGAAGCATGGTTGTAGATACTGTACTGGAAGTGCTTAAATACTGAGTAGAAAGAGACGTTTCGCGAAGTATTCGTTTGTCAGTGTAAGTGCGATTACTACAGTTTGTAAAATGTCCGTACTACCATATCAAGTTGTTCTAAAACGTTTCGAAGCTAAGCTAAAAAGTCGTTATGTTAACTCGATAGTACAGTTTCTGAATAAGCAGATACTGTGAACAGGCTCTGCAAAGGGAATGTTTGCACTAATTGGTATTAACCATTGAAAATTATACTACTTTGGCAATAATTTAGATCAGGAGCCATAATCGGGGACGGAGACCGTAAGCGCGCGCCATTTCTAGTATTGGGGTTGTCCCCTTGATATGGGACAATAATTCTATTTTTAGAACA